AGCATGTTCTCTTGACAAAACTGTTAGCCTTTGTCCTGCTTCATTTTGTACTCCAAGGCCAAACTTCCAGTTAATCCCAGGTATCTCTTGACTTCCTACTGTCGCATTCTAATCCCCTATGATGAAAACTACATCTTTTTTTTTTTTTCCGGTGTTAGCTTTAGAAGGTGTTGTAGAATCAGTCAACATCAGCATTTTTGGCATCAATGGTTGGGACATAGACCTGTATTACTATGATGTTGATGTGGTTTGCTTTGAAAATGAACTGAGATCATTCTGTGTTTTTTGAGATTGCACCCAGTTACTGCATTTCAGACTATTTTGTTGGCTATGAGGGCTACTCAATTTCTTCTAAGGGATTCTTGTTCACAGTAGTAGATACAGTGGTCATCTAAATAAAAATCACCCATTCCCATCCATTTTAGTTCACTGATTCCTAAAATTTTGATGTTCACTCTTGCCATTTCCTGCTTGACTACATCCAGCTTATCTTGATTCCTGAAACTAATGTTCCAGGTTCCTACACAATATTGTTTTTTACAGCATTGGACTTTACTTTCATCCCCAGACACACCCACAGCTGAGCATTGTTTCTGCTTTGGCCCAGCCACTTCATTCTTTCTGCAGCTATTTGTAATTGCCCTCCACTCTTCTCCAGTAACATATTGGACACCTTCCAACATGCAGTGGGGGGTATGGAGGGGGAAGAGAAGAGGCAGCATTGTAAATTTGAGAACAGAGTACAGGGTGCATAAACTGGAAGACTGATCCCCCTCTGAAGTCAGAGTTAAATGAAGTTGGGCTGCCAGGAAATTCCAAGGATTTGCTTGGTGGTTACAGTCTCACATTTTCTGGAAAAGTGACTAACCACATTCAGTGACTTGAGTTCAAAGTGCAAAACAGGGAGAAGTTACTTCCAACCACACATCTAAGTGCACAGACTTGTGTAGGTGACAAATGGCAGTTTCCAGGAGCATGGATGGGATGGGACTGGCTCTTGTTCAGCACCCTCCCCCCCTGCCGGCCCAACTCCATGCACTCCCCAGTCTCACAGAGAAGGACATTGCGTAAAGAAAGGCCAGTCTATTCAGAATACTTTTTCCTGGAGGAAGGCTATTTAAGAAGCCTTTGAGTGATCCTTGGCCTTAGAGTTGGTGTCCCCAGAGGGTCTCCATGGCGGGAAAAGGCGGAGCTTGATTCAAGGAGGGCTCTGATGAGTGCCTAAGGAAGAGGGGCTGGAATTAGGAGGGGCTGCTGGGCTTCCACAGGCTGAAGTGAGGAGCCCTTGGAAGGAATGGACCTGGCCAGCTTGGCTAGGTCTTACTGTAAACTGGGGCCTAGAGGGTCCCAGCTTTAGCTTCATGGAGATAGGAAGGGGTAGTGAGATGAGGCTCCTGTAAGTCCTACTGCCCCAAAGCCATTGCCATGGAAAGCTACTTCTTCCATCCTGGTGGGACAAGGAAATTTGCAAATGTATACAAATAATTTTCTCCTATAGAGAAATATTTCCCCTCACTATAGAATATTTTATGTTTTATGTACCCTAGTTAACTTCTTTTTTTTTTTTTTTTGTCTCTGTGTTTTTTTTTTTTTTTCTGAGTTTTTTTTTTTTTTTTTATTTTATTTTTTTTTTTATTGAAGGGTAATTGCTTTACAGAATTTTGCTGTTTTCTATCAAACCTCAACATGAATCAGCCATAGGTATACATATACCCTCCCTTTCAAACCTCCCTCCCATCTCCCACCCCATCCCACCCCTCCAGGTTGACACAGAACCCCTGTTTGAGTTTCCTGAGCCACACAGAAAGTTCCTGTTGCCTATCTATTTTACATATGGTAGTGTAAGTTTCCATGTTACTCTTTCCATATATTTCACCTTCTACTCCCCAGTCCTCATGTCCATAAGTCTATTTTCTATGTGCATCCCCATTGTTGCCTTGTAAATAAATTATTCAGTACCTTCAGAATCTTCCATTTCTCTAGATTCTGTATACATGCATTAGAATACAATATTTATCTTTCTCTTTCTGACTTACTTCATTCTGTATAATAGGTTCTGGGTTCACCCACCTCATTAGAACTGATTCAGATGCATTCTTTTTTATAGTTGAATAATATTCCATTGTGTATATGTACCACAACTTCTTTATCCATTCATCTGTCGATGGACATCCAGGTTGCTTCCATGTTCTAGCTATTGTAAATAGTGCTGCAATGAACAATGGGATACCATGTCTCTTTCAATTTTGGTTTCCTCAGGGTATATGCCTAGGAGTGGGATTGCTAGGTCATATGGTAGTTTTGTTCCTAGTTTAAGTTCGTGGTTTAAAGAATCTCCATACCATCTTCCATAGTGGCTGTATCAAATTACATCTCAACCAACAGTGCAAGATCGTTCCCTTTTCTCCACACCCTATGCAGCATTTATTGTTTGTAGATTTTTTGATGAGGGCCATTCTGATTGGTGTGAGGTGATACCTTATTGTAGTTTTGATTTGCGTTTCACTAATAATGAGCGATGTTGGGCATCTTGTCATGTGTTTGTTAGCCATCTGCATGTCTTCTTTGAAGAAATGTCTGTTTAGGTCTTTTTCCCAGTTTTTGATTGCGTTGTTTGTTTTTCTGGCATTGAGTTATATGAGCTGCTTGTATATTTTGGAAATTAATCCTTTATCAGTTGTTTCATATGCTATCATTTTCTCCCATTCTGAGGGTTGCCTTTTCACCTTGCTTATAGTTTTCTTTGCTGTGCAAAAGCTTTTAAGTTATATCATGTCCACTTGTTTACTTTTGTTTTTATTTCCATTACTCTAGGAGGTGGGTCATAGAGGATTTTGCTTTGATTTATGTCATCGAGTGTTCTGCCTATGTTGTCCTCTAAGAGTTTTATAGTTTCTAGTTCTACATTTAGGTCTTTAATCCATTTTGAGTTTATCTTTGTGTATGGTGTTAGGAAGTGTTCTAATTTCATTCTTTTACATGTAGCTGTCCAGTTTTCCCAGCACCATTTATTGAAGAAGCTGTCTTTGCACCATTGTATATTCTTGCCTCCTTTGTCAAAAATAAGGTAGCCATAGGTGCATGGATTTATTTCTGGGCTTTCTATCCTGTCGCATTGGTCTAGATTTCTGCTTTTGTGCCAGTACCATACTGTCTTGATGACTGTAGCTTTGTAGTATAATCTGAGGTCAAGAAGGTTGATTTCCTCCAGTTCCATTCTTCTTTCTCAAGACTGCTTTGGCTATTTGGGGTCTTTTGTATTTCTATATGAATTGTGAAATTTTTTGTTCTAGTTCTGTGAAAAATTCTATTGATAATTTGATAGGGATCACACTGAATCTGTAGGTGACATTTGGTGGTGTAGTCGTTGTTACAATATTGATTCATTATACCCAGGAACATGGAATATCTCTCCACCTGTTTATGTCATCTTTGATTTCTTTCATCAGTGTCTTATAATTTTCTGTGTACAGTTCTTTTGTCTCCTTAGGTAAGTTTATTCCTAGACATTTAATTCTTTCTGTTGCCATGGTGAATGGGATTGATTCCTTAATTTCTCTCTCTGATTTTTCATTGTTAGTATATAGAAATTCAAGTG